CATATAGACCTGAACAACACCCTTGATGATAAATATTACTCTACAAACTAGGAATGGAAGGGAACTTCCTCAGTGTGATTAAGGGCATCTAAGAAAAATTCACAGCTAGGATCATCCTTAATGTGAGAGAAAGAGCGATTTTTAAAATAATGAGAAAGATAAGAATGCCCCTTCCCCTCTTCTCTTCAACATTGTACTGGAGGTTCTTGTCAGTACAGTTAGGCAAGAAAAAGAATTAAAAGGCATCTAGATTAGAAAGGAAAAAGTAAAACTATCTCTATTTCCAAATGTCATGGTCTTGACTATGAAAAATCCTAAAGAATACACACACACAAAAAAGAACTAATAAGTTCAACAGGATTGCAGGATATAAGATTAGTATACAAAAATCAATTTCTATTCCTTGCAATGAACAAACCAAATTGACATTAAGAACATAATTCCATTTATAGTAACATTAAAAAGAATAAAATACTTAGAATATAAGTCCAAAATCAGGGTGTCACCTAGGCCATGCTCCCTTTGAAACCTCTGGGGGGAATTCTTCCTTGCCTCTTCCTTATAGTTTCCTGGCAGTCTTTGGTGTTCCTTGATTCCTAGGTACCTTACCCTGCTCCTCCATCCTCACATGGCATTTCCCTGTATCTCTTCATGTCATCTTCCTTCTGTGACACCAGTCATGTTGGATTAGATCCCACCTTGATAACCTCATCTTAACCTTACTTCTGCAAAGATGCTATTTCCAAACAGGTCACATTCAGAGGCACTGGGGGTTAACACTTTAATGTTTTTGGTTTTACTCTTTAAGGAGTCTGGATATTCATGATTCAAAACTTGGAATGTTTAGAAATATCCTCTTCAAAATGAGAAATTTTTCTGTTAAGTGCTTATGAAAGGTGCCAATTCTATGGGCCATTTTACTGTGTTCAAAAACGAAACCTAGAAATAATTCCAAATTTAGATTCTCATTTCTTACCTTTAGGGAATATGGACAGAAATGCAAATGTTTATCATTTAGTTATGATAAATCAACCTTTGGAACCACCGCTTGGTGCTTGGTTGTGCTAGAAGAGTA